ACCTATATGCGCACCTATAATCAAAGGGTTGAATATTTAAAATCATAAATAATATTCAACGTTAAAACTGGTACACAATTAAAAACATTTTATTTAGGCCTATCTATGGCCTTCAAAAAATTGACGACTCTATATGTTTCGATGTTACAACGTCATCCTCGTGTTTTTAATTGTGTACCAGTTTAACGTTGAATATTATTTATGATTTTAACTTTATACACAAGTGCCAAAATACTATAATTATTGGTTGGATATTTGTTAGAATGTAGATGGCGCTCCAACATAAATATGTTACTACAATGCTCGTATTAACTATATATATCCTCTAACATTTATTGTGAGCTCCCCCTCAAATGCTGTGTTTAATATACTCTTCTTGAGTAAAGATTAGGGTAAATTCAATGAAAACAGAAACACACCTCTTACAATACAAGATCTAAAACCATCTGCCAACTGCTTTCCTGACGGGCATGCGCACACTTGGGTACCGTTAGGTGTCTTCTCGCATCCGAGATCCTTTGAGCCTAGAAGAGAAATATTTGAAGTAATCAAGGAAAGTGAACACACCAAATATTCTTAAATATCGTTTTTGTTATTAGTTTCAAGAAATATTTACTTATCCACGAATATATTCCAGTAAAGCTAGACCTACATATAGTTATCATGTTATCATCAAATCACATCAGTTGCAGTAATTCTCACATTTCTTGTAAACACTCGGTCTTCGTTCACAAACACCAAGTGACCTAGTGTCCCCCTACTCCTAAGTTACGACCTTAAGCCAGTGATCTTTTTATGCTACTTACCCCGAACCCCCTCCCAGTCAGAACTTTGAGACAGCAACACATCCTTGACACATATAATTTATTAAATTATATTAATGGATCAGTAAATGAAAATAAATTATTTATGGGACAGTCAGCGATACGAAACTGTCTTCTGGCTAGTGGAACACACCGATAAATGCCGAAACCACCCTCCAATTTTTTAATAATTGGGTTTGTTTTCGCTTTCAAATGTTATCGTGTATCCGCCAGGAGAACGCGTTTACCACTGTGTGGAAACCACTGTAAACTGTTAGTGGGAATTTGGTATATAGGGCCTCGCGCTTGCTAGAAGGCTGCCACTGGACTTACCGTCCATACTATGAACTTCCAGTTCTCTTCTTTCACAGAAGACCCCCTCGTAGCCCGAAGGGCACTCGCATTTTCGAGCTCTGGATCCAATGTAGTGTCTAAATTGAAAAAGAAGAACAATGCGTAGAATATTAAACAATACTTATCTCCAGAACGACGATTTTAACATGTCATCAATTTTGGACAGTGTGGTCCACTACTCTTTTTTCGTGATGTTGCTTTAGTACAGTTTCCTAAACTGTTTTATATCAGTATCGGTCAGTAGAATAAAGAAAGACTCATGTTTGAATAATATTGTTTTTGTAATTCAATAATTACTGTAAAGTACACAATTAACGAACACCATTAAAAAAAAATCATTTGTGGCACAGACTCTGAAACTTTTAGAATGAAAAACAAATAGGACATTTTTCACTTCTGAAAATCTTGTTTCAGTTTCATTTATTTTCGAGGGAATACAATCCAACTTTTATAACAACAACAAAAACAGGGTCAAATATTGGTTCCTATCACCGCAGAAGTAGTCCTTATCGGGACTTCTCTGATGGTGGTAACAGGTTAGAAGCCGAAAAGTAGGATACAAATTAGAATCTAGTAAAGATTTAATATTTTTTCATACTCTCACGAGAAACTCTGTTATTTAATATTTACTATCAGTTTCTTGAAACCGAAACTTCAGTTCGGAGCCCTGAACGTGTGTTTAGTCTAAGAGTATCTTAGTTACGAACAGGAACTGTGATATACACTTCTACAAGAATTACTTAAGTAAATCAGATTGTAGAAGAATCGAAGATTTAATGGCAAGTAATGTGTTCATTTGAAAGGAGAATGTTTGTTTGCTTTAGAAATGTCGCGAAAAGCTACACAGGGACACCTGCACATAGCCTAAAGCTACACAGGGACACCTGCACATAGCCTAAAGCTACACAGGGATACCTGCATATAGCCTAAAGCTACATAGGGACACCTGCACATAGACTAAAGCTATACAGGGACACCTGCATATAGCCTAAAGCTACACAGGGACATCTGCACATAGCCTAAAGCTACATAGGGACACCTGCACATAGACTAAAGCTATACAGGGACACCTGCACATAGCCTAAAGCTACACAGGGACACCTGCACATAGCCTAAAGCTACGCAGGGACACCTGCACATAGCCTAAAGCTACACAGGGACACCTGCACATAGCCTAAAGCTACACAGGGATACCTGCATATAGCCATACGTAAAACAAGCTAGAGGAAAAGCAGCTGGATAACACTAACTTTTGTCTTGACGAATAGTGGGATTTGACCGATATTCTTATAATGTATCCACCGTTTCAAAGTCCGGAGAGCGTTTTTTTCGGTAACGAGGTACAAGCGTGTGAATCTTCGGATTAATAGTCCGGCCACATTAACTGCTATGCCATTCCCAGCCCAAAGGAAGGGATCGCCAGTGCAATTGGACACTAAAGGTTTGACCCTATGTAAAAATTTTATACGGAACTCTGGAGGTATAATCAACCTATATTTTCAAACTCAGCTGAACCAAGGCAAACACTCAACTAAACTAGGGCAAACACTCAACTAAACTAGGGCAAAGACTTAGCTGAACCAGGGTAAAGACTTAGCTGAACCAGGGCAAATACTTAGCTGAACCAGGGCAAAGACTTAGCTGAACCAAGGCAAATACTTAGCTGAACCAGGGCAAATACTTAGCTGAACTAAGGCAAATATTTAGCCGACCTAGTGCAAATACTTAGCTGAACCAGGGTAAATACTTAGCTGAACCAAGGCAAATACTTAGCTGAACCAGGGCAAATACTTAGCTCAACCAAGGTAAATACTTAGCTGAACCATGGCAAATACTTAGCTGAACCAGGGCAAATACTTAGCTCAACCAAGGCAAATACTTAGCTGAACCAGGGTAAATACTTAGCTCAACCAAGGTAAATACTTAGCTGAACCAGGGCAATTACTTAGCTCAACCAGGGCAAACACTCAACTAAACTAAAACAAAGACTCAACTGAACTAACGCAAAGACTCAGTTAAACCAAGACAAAAACTAAGATAAATAAGTAGTTGTTATTAAATGACTACTTTGTGTGAATAAGTAGTTGTTAATAAATGACTACCTTGTATAAAAAAGTAGTTGTTAATAAATGACTACTTTGTGTAAAGTAGTTGTTAATAAATGACTACCTTGTATAAATAAGTAGTTGTTATGAAATGACTACTTTGTGTGAATAAGTAGTTGTTATTAAATGACTACTTTGTGTGAATAAGTAGTTGTTATTAAATGACTACTTTGTGTGAATAAGTAGTTGTTATTAAATGACTACTTTGTAATCCCATGTGAAGTGAGGCCGACAAGGTAACTTTCAACAACAACAAAGACACGGTCAGCCAGAAAGTGTGACATTTCTAAGGTAATATTCACACAAAACAAGTTAAGTTTAGATATATACCTGAACAAGATTATCACAATAGATCAGAAACTCAGACTTCTTTTATTATAACAATAACAATTAGTCTTCTCCTCCTACAAAACAAAAGTTAGGCTTACGGACCTGCAGGAACCCCCATTCCAGCACATAGTATCGTTAGAACTTGGTCCACAGTCGGGCGAGTATTTACATTCGTCACCGTAATAGGGCTCGAAACACGTGCACGCGTAAGTCTTAAAGTCTGCAGAAGCGTAGCAGAGTCCGTTGAAGGAGCAGTGATTCTCAATGCAAGGATCTCTTCGTCCGTCCTTCTGTTGGTCGATGACTTCGTATGTAACATTAAAACCGTAGACGTCCAGGAAAAAGTCCATCACTCTCATGTGGACGTTGGCGCTTTCTCGGACGTCGAAATCAAGCACCAGGTAACTCTTGAGACCAATGTACCGAGTAGGTTCAGCGTCCGAACTGACCATACTAGAAACCCCCTTCGAGATTGTGGTTGATTTATCAAAGAAGTCATACTCCGAAATTCGAACCCCTTCTCTCATATAGAATTGTGTGAAATACACGGCAATACCTTTACCCTTAGGGGCTTCTATAACCCACGTGCATTTAATGGGAACAGGATAAGGTTTCGGAAAATTAGGGGTAGAAATCACACCAGAAGGTTCGGTCAACCATACCCCACATTCCGTAAACACTTTTCTTCTGCTATTCGCTAGATTTCCTTTGCACGTGCTGATTAAGAACTGTAAAAACCATAGCAACAACAGTGGTTTTAACCGTAGAATAGTTGGAGGAATTTTCCGGTCAACGTGTTTATCTTGTTGAACACGAATCATGACTGGATCATCCTTTACACAGTGGTCACTTTCAGTCACTCACGTGAGCTGCATAAAGTCCTCGTGATTCAACGTTCCTTTGGCCTTCAAATAAATGTTGAAAATGTACGATAAACCCATCTGTAAAACAGAAAACAAAAATCATTCCGTATTATGCTGTTAGATAATAAGTTACAGAATAGCTATATAAATACAGGCGTTTTCATTACTTTGTTACGTCTCCGTTTGTTAATTGATTTTCCGTAACTTCGTTCCGACACAAGTTCTTTCTTAATAAAAACTGGTTTATTCTTTCCGAATATAACTTTACCGATACACTCAACTTCAACAATCGCGCTAAACAAACGCTATAACAACGAACGTGCTCAATAATACTTCTGACTGCAGATCAATTACTCACTGTCTACACACACATTACCGCGTCACGTTGTCCCCCTCTTTTATATACCCGACTACCCTATATCTAGTAAATACTAGAGCATTCGCCAAAGTACAGGATAGTTCTAGAAACGTGGCGTCACAGTAGTCATGTGACTCGCTGACGCAATAACTTTATATTGTTAGCATAATATTAAAATAAAGAACAAAGTCACAATCTGCTTTTTTATCCTCTTAATCAAAGTTTGAAGTTAATCAACGATTAAATTCATACTATAGTTCACAACCAGATTCGAGTTTATAGTTGATCAAAGACTTTGTTTATTTGTTGAATTTCGAATAAAGCTGGAAGAAAAAAAAGTAGAAGGAAGGGAACTAGTCAACATCACTCACCGACAACTCTTGGGAAAGTAGTTGTTATTAAATGACTACCTTGTATAAATAAGTAGTTGTTATGAAATGACTATTCACACAAAGTAGTCATTTCATAACAACTAGTTATTCACACAAAGTAGTCATTTAATAACAACTACTTATTTACACAAAGTAGTCATTTATTAACAACTACTTATTCACACAAAGTAGTCATTTAATAACAACTACTTATTCACACAAAGTAGTCATTTATTAACAACTACTTATTCACACAAAGTAGTCATTTATTAACAACTACTTATTTACACAAAGTAGTCATTTAATAACAACTACTTTTTTATACAAAGTAGTCATTTAATAACAACTACTTATTTATACAAGGTAGTCATTTATTAACAACTACTTATTTACACAAAGTAGTCATTTAATAACAACTACTTTTTTATACAA